GGCGGCGGGGCTTCTCGGAGGCCCCCTGGCCTTCTAACTAAGAAGCCGTCTCTCTGTCTTTCGGAGAAGGCTTGGACAACTTCTCGGAGAGCGGGAGGCCTTCCGAGGCTTCTGAGAAGGCCCGCCCCCTCCGCCTTCCCCGCTGGGCTCGCCGCCGAAGTACACCAGGGCACATTCCAGACTCTGGTGGAGATGGCGGAGGAGGCAGGCGTGCCACGGACGAGTGGGACGCCCCGGCCGCGGCCCTCAAAGCCAGCCACGCCAAACTAGGTGGACGTGTACAGTAGGGGCCCTTCAACAAGAAGCCTTCTACAAGGAAACCAACCCTGAGACCCCAGGACGTCTATTGATTTTTTATGTGGGAACGTCGCGCTTTCCATAGCAAAACCATCGAAGCCCCGAAACCCAAGAAATCCAGGGCACCCTGGAGGCAAGCATAGTGTCTCTTGGCATGGGCCTCCACTGTACGACATGCCCGTCGAGATCCAGCTGCTGAAGCCCACGCACGCTGACGCCCGTGGACGTGCTGGACGCTCACGCGGAGACAACCTCGAGGCTGCGGATGCGCCTCCGAGTTGTCCGCCAGAGCGTGGGCGAGACGCTCGAATGGCTCGACCACGCCAGGCGAGCGAGAGCGAGGACTGCGCTCAGGTCGGGCCTGCCCCCCTACCGGCGGATTTCGGACGAAAAATAGCCAAAAGTCAACCACAAAAATCGTCCACGTACGATGTTTTGACTGCTCTTGAATTTTCCTCCTGTAGAAGGATTTACCCGACTCAAGACTGCGCTTGCTTCGATGCAGAGGCGGCGGCGGGGAGCCCGGCTCGGCTCGGCGCACGGAGGCGACGTCGCCCGAGGGACGGCCAACGGCCCCAGGTCTCCCAAGGGGGGAAAGGGAAGGGGAAGCGAAGCGAACGCCGGAGTCGTGCGAGCCGTGCGCGCTCCTCCGGGGAGCCCGCCCGTGCCCAGCAGGACGTGGCGTGGAGGCCGTGGCCTCGGTCGTGGAGCCCATCAGGGCATGGCGTGGAGGACATGCACATTGGGGCCCCTAGGAGAAGGGGCGGGGCGGGGCATGGCGTGGAGGACATGCCCGTTGGGGCCCCTAGGGGAGGGGGTGGGGGGGGGCAGGGCAGGGCGTGGAGGACATGCCCATGGGGGCCCCTCGGGGAGGGGGTGGAGGGGGCGGAGGACGGAGGACGGACGGAGGGTGTGCAGCGTCGATGTGCAGCGCTTCGGCCTCATCGGCAGCGTTCCTCGGCCTCTTCGGCAGAGCTCTCGGCCGGCAGGTGCTGACAGGCCCCCACCGGGGGGTCGTCCTGCTCGGGCCGCCCAGCAGACCAGCGCTCTCGGCGGAGCCCGCGGGCGCCCCAATCGCAGAGCGGGCCGTCGAGGCAGCCTGGACGATGCCCCTTCTGCGATGGGAGACGATGAGGCTCTGCCTCCACGAGTGGTCAGGGCTGAAGCCCTCGCGGGAAGATAATCTTACACGGGAGCGGCCGAGATACAGTGGAGGCCCGACCACAAGACACCTTCCACAACAAACCCGACCCTGAGATACCAGGATGTCCATTGATTTTTGCTGTGGTAGCGTCGCGCTTTCCACAGCAAAACCATCGAAGCGCAAGAAACCCAGGGCACCCTGGAGGCAAGCAGGATGTCTCTTGGCATGGGTCTCCACTGGATGGGTGATGGTGAGACTCTGCCTCCACGAGTGGTCAAGGCTGAAGCCCTCGCGGGAAGACAAGCTGACACGGGAGCGGCCGAGAGAAAGCACGGAGAAACGAGCAGGCGTGACACGCAGGGTGGAGGCCGAAGGATGGGGGACGGGGGTGCGGCAGCCTCGCGTCGTGTCGACTTCGGCGTGGGTTGCTAACACCGCGGGGATCGTTCAGCCTTGAACGATCGGCCGTTTCCGAGACGTCGGATCGTTCAACGTCAACCGATTCTGGGTCGCTGGCGGCGTTCAACGTTGGACGCCAGCGGCGGGGTGGCCTCCCGCCGACACAAGGCGAACCTACCGTAGTGGGAGTCGGGTCGGGCTCTCGGTGGCCAGCTCTGGCTCTCGGGCCCCTCTCACCTGCTCCGTTTTCCTCCACCTCGTGTGCCCCCAGTTCACCTTCGGGGGGACGCACGCTGCGTCGTGCTGGGCAGGGTGTGGTCCCCACGGGAAGGCGCTTCTCTTACCATCAGCGTCCGGAGGAATTGACTTGATTTGACAATCCTCCTGATCATCATCATCATCATCATCATCATCATCATCATCATCATCATCATCATCATCATCATCATCATCATCATCATCATCAACTACACCAGCATCATCATCATCATCAGCAGCAGCAGCAGCATCAGCATCAGCATCAGCATCAGCATCAGCAGCATCATCATCAACATCATCATCACCATCATCATCATCAGCAGCAGCATCATCAGCAGCATCATCAGCATCATCATCAGCAGCAGCATCATAATCATCAGAATAAACAGCATCATCATCTTCAGCAGCATCAGCATCAGCATCAGCATCAGCATCAGCATCAGCATCAGCATCATCATCATCATCAGAATCATCATCAGAATCATCATGGTCATGGTCATGGTCATGTCTGTCATCACCATCAGCATCAGCACCAGCAGCAAACATAACGACAACGACGAAAACGATAATAAACTAGGACAACACCATCACCATCATCGTCATCACCAGCATTAGCAGCATCAACATCATCATCCTCATCATCATCATCATCATCATCATCATCAGCTACAGAATCAGAATCGTAATCACAACTGTTATCATGAGACCCATCCTCAGCAGCAGCAGCATCATCATCATCAGCAACAGCAGCATCATCATCATAACCAGCATCATCGTCATCATCATCAGCAGCAGCATTACCCTCACCATCATCATTGTCATCGTCATCAGCATCATCATCATCAACAGCATCGTCATCAGCAGTCATTCCCAATACCATCGAAAACATCCTCAGATGTTCAACCATCCGTTGTATAATCGTCGTCATCGCCAGCATCATAATGATCATCAACAACATCATCAGCAGCAGCACCATCATTGTCGCCATCCTCATCACAATCAGTATCCGAGTAATCATCAGCATCATCGTCATCACCACCTCCATCATCATCAGCATCATCATCACCATCATCATCAGCAGCAGCATCATCATTAGCAGCAGCAGCAGCAACACCATCATCGTCGCAATCCTTGTCACAGTCATTATCCGAGTCATCCTCGTCGTCGTCCTCGTCGGCATCATCGTCGTCATCATCATCATCAACTCCATCACCATCGTCATCGTCGTAATCATCATCATCGTCATCATCAGCACAATCATCGTCATCATCATGCTCATCAGCATCAGCAGCAGCATCATCAGCATGTTCATCATCATCAGCCTCATCGTCATCGGCATCAGCATCTTCAGAATCAGCATCACATTCTGAGTCAGCATCATCAGCATCAGCAGCATCAACATCTGCATCATCAGGTTCATCAACATCATCGTCGTCAACAGCATCATCATCATCATCATCATCACCACCACCACCACCATCATCATCATCATCATCATCATCAGCATCATCATCATCATCATCATCATCATCATCATCATCATCGTCATCGTCATCGTCATCCCAACCATCAGCATCATCATTACATCATCTTCATCAGCGTCATCAGCATCAGCAGCAGCGACAATCATGTCAACAACAGCAGCATAAATCCGAATCAGCGGCATCAGCATCAACATCAAAATCAGCATCATGTGCATCATCATCGACATCCTTAACGTCAACCTTATCAGCAGCAGCAGCATCTCATCGTCATCATCAGCAGCATCAGCTTCAACATTATCATCGCCCCCCCCACCACCACCACCACCACCACCCACCATCATCATCATCATCATCATCATCATCATCATAATCATCATCATCATCATCATCATCATCATCATCATCATCATCATCATCATCATCATCATCATCATCATCATCATCATCATCATCATCATCATCATCATCGTCATCGTCATCGTCATCGTCGTCGTCGTCCATCTACTCGTCTTTACCCCTCGGCTCCTCTTCCTCCTCCTCTTCCTCCTCCTCCTCGGTTCTTACCTCCTCCTTCTCCTCCTTCTCCTCGTCCTCATTCTTGAAGTGCTCGTCATACCCTGACTTCGTCATTAGCTCACTCACTCTTTGTCGTCCTCGTCCTCGTCTTTCTCGTCGTCCTCCTCTTCCTCCTCGCCCTCCTCCCTTTTCACCTTCTCCTCCTCCTCCTCCTCCTCCTCCTCCTCCTCCTCCTCCTCCTCCTCCCCTTCATCATCACCCCATATCCTCATTACCTTAATCACGCTCCTCTTTATCCTCGTCTTCCGCATCGCTATACTCCTCCCCCTCATACTCTTCCCTTTTCTGCTCCTGGCCATCCTCCCAGCTCTCGTCGTCATGGTTCTCCCCCATTCTTCAACTGCTCCTCCACAGTCCTGCTCATAATCAGCCTGAACCTCCACCACCGCTTCTTCCCCCTCATCTCCTCCCCTCCTCCTCCTCGTCATCATCATCAGCAGTAGCAGCAGCAGCATCGTCGTCGTCACCATCATCATCATCACCACCACCACCATCACCACCACCACAATTACCATCATCATCATCAGCATCATCATCATCATCAGCATCATCAGCATCATCATCATCAGCAGCATCAGTATCAGCATCAGCATCATCAAAACCACCATCCCTTCCACGACCAATTCATCCCTCCTCCTCCTCCTCTTCCTCCTCCTCCTCCTCCTCCTCTTCCTCCGCCTCCTCCTACTCGCCCCCCCCTCGTCATCGTCCTCCCATTCGTCCTCCTCTCGTCGTCCTCTCCTCGTCGTCCTCCTCCTCGTCCTCCTCCTCGCCCTCCCCCTCCTCACTCCCCCCCTCATCATCCTGTGCCTGCTCATCCCCATCCCGAGCGGCCCAGGTGCCTCGGAAGGGCCCCCCGTGCGCTTGGGCGGCGCCAGGACTTGCAGGAGGCCTCCGCCCCGGCCCCGAGGCGCTGGGGCCCCTCCCATCGGTGCTCGCCTCGCAGAGCGCTCGGGGCTCGCCAGGCGCTCGTCGGGGGGCGCCAGGATCGTCGAGAGCAGACGACGACGACGACGACGACGACGACGACGACGACGACGACGACGACGACGACGACGACGACGACGGCCACGACGACAAGAGGGGGAGAAAGGGAAGCGAAGCGAAGCGAAGCGAAGCGAAGCAAAGCAAACGCCGGAGTCGTGCGCGGTCCGAGAAGGAGAAAGGGAGGGGGGAGGTTGAGGAGGAGCAGCAGCAGAAGCAGCAGGACGAGGAGGAGCAGGGGGACGGCACAAGGAGGGGCAACAAGAATGATAGAGGACAACACCCCTGGTTGATATCACCCAGTCTTGCGAAGCTGAGCCCCTAGTTGGGTCTTCAGCTGCCCGCCCCAAGGCCTCGGGACTCAGATGATTCTCGCGAAACTCGCAGGGGCTAGCACCGAAACCGCTACCATCGCCCAAGTCCGTGGGCGCACGGCGAAGATGCCTAGGGAAGGATCGAGAACCGATGTTCGAGGACTGAACACTTTGGGGGACACATGTGGTCCGCTTCGGGCCTCGAAGGGGCACCTACAGACCTCCGAGACTTCCAGAGAGAGCTCTGGATCCCTGAATAAGGCTGTGAGCGCCCGGCGAAGAACTCCTGCGGGCCCCGACCCTGCCTGGAGGCCCTTCGCACCTCGGCCCGGGTCCAATGTGGGCCTCGGGGCCCTCGTCGGCCAGCTTGGCAAGGAGCACCCCGACGCGCGGACGCCGAGGAGGAGGAGCAGTAGGACGAGGACGAGGGCGTGCAGTGTGGTTGGGGAAGGGGGAGGCGGACGGGGCGGGGAGCTGGGGCAATGGGATCGGAGAGGGGGGACGGGAGAAAGAAGGGACTGTGGACAAGAAGAGTGGGGGACGCGTGACCTTGCGCACTCTGACGTGGCGAACGTCATCGAGACGTCTGCTCTCGGCTATGCTGTATACAGTGGAGGCCCGACCACAAGAAACCTTCGACAAGAAACCCAAACCTGAGACCCCAGGACGTCTGTGGACTCCTGGCGTGGGAACGTCACGCCTTCCACAGCAAAACCATCGAAACCCAAGAAACCCAGGGCACGTGAGCGTTTTCGTATTCATCGTTCCGACATTGGGCGGAAGGGGGGGGAGGGGCGGGGGCCTGGCTCTGGACATCTGCTTAGTGCCACTGTTTGCAGCAGTGCATCCTGTGGGGGAGACTCCATCTCCCTGAAACGGGCGCCAAAAACAGCCAAGAGGTACTCCAAGGAGGGGGGGAGGGGGGGTGCGAGGGCCCGCGCCGATCGGCAAAACACTGAATAAAAAAACGATCACCACCCTGGAGGCAAGCAGGGTGTTTCTTGGCATGGGCCCCCACTGTATTCGCCTTGGGCACTCCCATGGCAGCCTGCAGAGCGACGTCTGTCCTGCAGCGAGGCGCACGTTCCGCTCCAGCTGCGCTCCCCCGGAGAATTAGGCTTGAAGGGTAGGCGCGGAGCTGAGGTCGGGCCGTGTCCAAGGACAAAAAAGGCGTAGAAGGAAGAGGATCAGGAGGAAGCTGCAGGATGCGAAAGATATTTTCACGGACGGGTATATGGGGAGGAGGGAAGGAACAGCCACAAGACGAGGGCAAGGAGGAAGAATTGATAACAAAAAAATGAGCAGCGGGAGCAGGCGAGGGAGGAGCCTCTAGCGAAGGATTGCACAGCGTACCGAGCCATTCGCCCATCAAATGCGAGTATTGAGGCGTCGTCCTGTAATTCGAACACACGACAACCGAACAACAAAGTTGTAACGGAGTCGGAGGCATTATGTTGACAGTGTTCACATGGCAATGCCATGCTGGGCATAGTCTGCGCGATCCTCAAACATGCGCTCCTCGGCTCGCGCCCGATGGAGTCTACGGAAGGCTGGTGACGCTTACACTGAACCATTCGCCCTCTCCTGTCCGTATCCCCGTCGCGCCTGCCAGAGAATACTCCAGACGCGTGCCCGCTGCAATGGAGTAGGCGCTGATCCTCCAACGCACCCCAGGACCGCAAAACGAGGAGTAAGAACGTCAAGAAAAGAGCAGGAAGAGGATGAGCGGGAGGGGGAGAAGGAGGAGGAGGAGGAGGAAGAGGAGGAGGAAGACAGAGGAGGACGTTCAGCTGCCCCTGGGGCAGTGAAGGGAAGGGAAGACGACGGGCGGAAGGCAGCAGTGCGGCAAGGGGAAGAGCGGAGGGGGGGAGGGAGAGAATGGCAGGAAGAGCAGCCAGGCAGAGAGAGGAAGGAGGAGTGAGGAAGCATGTCGGCGACGAGCCTGGAGGGGAAGTGAGAAGGGGCGGGCCTTCTCAGAAGGCTCAGATGGCCGCGGGCCTTCTGAGAAATCTTCTAAGCCTTCCCCGAGGACACGGAAAACTTCTCCGTACGCCAGGGGCTTCTGAGAAGGAGTGAGGAGGCATGAGCTTGGGGATATTATAATGCTCGTTCTTGAGGCGGATTTTCCGCTTCGGGTTCGCAACTCGAGACATGTCCTGCGATGTGCCATACTGCCCCTGGACGGGTGCCCTGTTGTCTAGGCGAACGTGTTGGCTTGGCTAAGTACGCAGTGTCATTCATCAACCTGAGGAAGGACGTTCTGCACAGCATGAAAGGAATTAAGCAGTCAGGTAGAGGGAGAAACGAGGGAGGGGTAGTGGCTACGAGCAGGGATGAGGGAGGGGAGAGGGCAAAGGGGGGAGAAGGTCAAGCTAGGTGCGCTCGCGGCGTATCTGACAGTCTGCCCCTTCCGCCCGTTCCTTCCCGTTGCGCTGAATTATTCTCTATCCCAGGACGCGTGTCATAACGGGCCTGGAGTTTCAACTGGGAACCCATCGTGATATGAACAATCGGACAAGGGGGGCTGCGTGCATTGGAGGAAAAGATGGCGGAAGAGCACGAGGATGAGAGAGAGAGGAAAACCAGGACGAGGAAGGAGGTGGACGAGGACGAACACAAGCAGCACGAGCTGGAGTAGAAGGAGCGGGAGGAGCCGGAGGACAAGGGTTAGGCGTAGGAGGGGAAATGAGCGGGGCGACAACGATGAGAAAGGACTCGGATCCAGAAAAAAATAGCACGCGCTGGGGCGAGAGCACCGATCCTAGAATCAGGCCAATGCTGTAGCGGCAGCAGCATCTTGAGGCACCGAAAACGCTCCCATCAACAAACAGACGTGGGAAACACCGACACAACAATTGCAGTCCTGCGCGCCGACCGCGGAAAGGGCGCGGGCGACTCCCCCGCCACCTGCAGGAGAGAGAAGCAAGAAGAACTCACATGCATCCACCTCCTCCTCGTCCTCCACCTCCACCTCCACCTCCTCCTCCTCCTCCTCCTCCTCCTCCTCCTCCTCCTCCTCCTCCTCCTCTCCTCTCGTCCTCCTCTTCTCTCCTCCTCCTCCTCCTCCTCCTCCTCCTCCTCCTCCTCCTCCTCCTCTCCTCCTCCTCCTCCTCCTCTTCCTCCTGGCTCGTACCCCTCCTCCTCCTCCTCCTCCTCCTCCTCCTCCTCCTCCTCCCTCCTCCTCCTCCTCCTCCTCCCCTCCTCCTCCTCCTCCTCCTCCTCCTCCTCATCATCATCATCATCATCATCATCATCATCATCTTCCTCCTTCTCCTCCTCCTCCTCCTCACAAAGTGTGGGAGAGGAAGGAAGCAGGCACGGGCGCCGGGAGGAAGGGGCAGGAAGGGTGCCCCGCGCTCGCGCCCAGAAACTGGCGGGCAGGGAGAGGGAGGAGGGGGCAGGGGGCAGGGAGGAGGGACGTTTCCCTCGGCGGCGGGGCAGAGCTGGCCGCACCAGCGAGAGAGCTAGACGGGGGCGCCGAAGAGCGAGGAACGGGGAGAATGGACGGCGGGAGGAGGGGGGGAAGCAATGCACAACCCCTTGTGCGGACAGTCGGCTGGGTTCTGCACGGCCGGACCGGAGAGCAGCGCGACGGGAACGCGAACAGCCTCGGGACGCGGCGAGCTGCGCCGTGGCAGGGCTGGACCTAAAAGCTGGTGTTCGTTTTGTTTTCGCTGCTTTTCCCAACCATCCTGTGGTGTTGGGTCCTCGTTTTGAAGCGACCGCGCCCCGCGTCCCACCTCTTCTCCTCCTCTCCTCCTCCCTCTCCTCCCCCCTCCTTTTTCACTGCCTCTGCCCTACGCATGCCTCTATTTCGGCATACCCTCACATGGTTCGTGGCCCCGTAAGGAGCTCCACCGATAGCCCCAGTGGCAGGGTTCGGCCCCGCCCCATCTTGGCGCACACCTCACATGGTTCGTGGCCCCATTGGGAGTTCCACCGAAGGCCCCAGTTGCAAGATTCACATGGCGGCCCCGCCACAGTTGGGCGCTCCCCTCGCACGGTTCGTGGCCTCAAAAGGAGCTCCACCAAGGGCCCCACTGGCAGGGCTCGCATGGCGGCCCCGCTCCATCTTGCTATAGGGAGCTCCACCGAAGGCCCAATGGCAGGGTTCGCATGGCGGCCCCGCGCACCCCTCACACGGCACGTGGCCCCCATAAAGAGTTCCACCAAAGGCCGAAGTGGCAGGGTTCGCATGGCGGCCCCACCCCATTTTGGCGCACTTCTCACACGGTTCGTGGCCCCACAGGGAGTTCCACCGAAGGCCCCACTGGCAGGGTTCGCATGGCGGCCCCGCGACATTTGGGCGCACCCCTCACACAGATCGTTGCCCCGAAGGGAGCTCCACCGAAAGCCCCAGTGGCAGGGTTCGCAGGGCGGCCCCGCCCCATTTTGGCGCACTCCTCGCACGGTTCGTGGCCCCACAAGGAGCTCCACCGAAGGCTACAGTGGCAGGGTTCGCATGGCAGCCCAGCCCAATTGTGGCGGACCCCTCACACGGTTCGAAGCCCCAACGGGAGCTCCACCGAAGGCCCCACTGGCAGGGTTCGCATGGCGGCCCCGCCCCATTTTGGCGCACCCGTCACACGGTTCGTGCCCCCATTGGGAATTCCCCCTTCGTCGTCCGACCTGCCCTGCGGTTCTCACGCTTGCGTATGGTTGGGCCCTTCGCCCGGATACTTCGTTTTGGTCTACCTGTTTTCGTGCAACTCTCTGCCAAACCGAAAGGAAGAATTCGCCTGGCGAAAGACCCAACCATACGCAGCTGTGAATACCGCAATTATGAATATAATATTCGCCCGCGCTCCCTATGGGTCCACGAAGGTGTGAGGAGCGTGCCGACATGCGTGGCGGGGCACACAACGCGAGCGAAGACGACAGTTCTGTGTGCGAAAGACTGAGAGCGAATGAGTCTGATTGCGGATGAATCTGCGCGCGCGTGAGTCTACGTGCATAAATGTCGACGCCCAGGATCGCGCCCGCTGCCTTCCCGTGTTTCTTTTCCCTGTTTCCCCGTGCACGGCCACGTCAAAGGCTGCGGGCGCGCGCCGCACGGAATCCCCGCGACGCGCGCTGGTCGCCCCGAAGGGGTCCCGGCGACGCGCGCGGGTCGTCCGCTGCGCGGAGCAGAGAGAACGAGTAGGCTGGCTGCCGTCCGGGATGCACGGCCCGAAAGCGGCCTCAACACGTCGAATACGACGAAAACCCTCCAGAAATCGAAACCCGCCGCCATGCGAACTCCGCCACTGGGTCGCCATGCGAGTTCCGCCAAGGAGACCTTCGGTGGAGCTCCATGTGGGGACACGAAACGCTGTACTGGGTGGTGGATGACGCATACGGGCGGTCCCACTGGGGCCTTCGGTGGGGCCCCCTATGGGGCCACGAAACGCTGTACTGGGTGTGGATGACGCATGCGGGCGGTCCCACTGGGGCCCTCGGTGGGGCCCCCTATGGGGCCACGAAACGCTGTACTGGGTGGTGGATGACGCACGCGGGCGGTCCCACTGGGGCCTTCGGTGGAACTCCCTATGGGGCCGCGAAGTGCTGCGCTGGGTGGTGGATGACGCACGCGGGCGGTCCAACGAGAGCTTTCGGTGGAGCTCCCTATCGGGCCACGAACCGCTGTACTGGGTGGTGGATGACGCACGCGGGCGGTCCCACTGGGGCCTTCGGTGGAGCTCTCTATGGGGCCACGAAACGCTGTACTGGGTGGTGGATGACGCATGCGAGCGGTCCCACTGGGGCCTTCGCTGGAGCTCCCTATGGGGTCACGAAACGCTGTACTGGGTGTGGATGACGCATGCGGAAGACCCACTGGGGCCTTTGGTGGAGCCCCCTTCTGGGGCCACGAACCGCTGTACTGGGTGGTGGATGACGCATGCGGGCGGTCCCACTGGGGCCTTCGGTGGAGCTCCCTATGGGGCCACGAAATGCTGCGCTGGGTGGTGGATGACGCACGCGGGCGGTCCAACGAGGGCTTTCGGTGGAGCTCCCTATGGGGCCACGAACCGCTGTACTGGGTGGTGGATGACGCACGCGGGCGGTCCCACTGGGGCCTTGGGTGGAGCTCCTTTCATGGGGCCACGAAACGCTGTACTGGGTGGTGGATGACGCATGCGAGCGGTCCCACTGGGGCCTTCGGTGGAGCTCCCTATGGGGTCACGAAACGCTGTACTGGGTGGTGGATGACGCATGCGGAAGACCCACTGGGGCCTTTGGTGGAGCCCCCTTTATGGGGCCACGAAACGCTGTGCTGAATGGTGGATGACGCATGCGGGCGGTCCCACTGGGGCCTTCGGTGGAGCCCCCTTATGGGGCCACGAAACGCTGTACTGGGTGGTGGATGACGCATGCGGGCGGTCCCACTGGAGCCTTCGGCGGGGTTCCCTATGTAGCCACGAAATGTTGTGTTGGGTAGTGAATAACGCATGCGGGCGGCCCACTGGGGCCTTCGGTGGAGCTCCCTTTTTTATGGGGCCACGAAATGCTGTGCTAGGTGGTGGATGACGCATGCGGGCGGTCCCACTGGGGCCCTCGGTGGAGCCCCCCTATGGGGCCACGAAACGCTGTGCTGGGTGGTGGATGACGCATGCGGGCGGTCCCATTGGGGCCTTCGGTGGAGCTCTCTATGGGGCCACGAAATGCTATGCTGGGTGGTGGATGACGCATGCGGGCGGTCACACTGGAGCCTTCTGTGGAGTTCCCTATGGGGCCACGAAATGAATGAGGAACGGGAGGAGGAGGAGGAGGAGGTGGAAGGAGGAGGAAAGAAGGAAGAAAGGAAAGAAGGAGGGATCGCGGGGACCGTCTCTTCAAAACGAGGACCCAACAACACAGGCTGGTTGGGAAAAAAACAAAGTCCAGCAAAACAGCGTTTAGGTCCAGCCCTGGTGGAAGGCGGATGAGCTCGAGGCGCGGTGGGCGCAACCATCAGTTATTACCAAACATCAAGCGCCCGTCATCATAAGATAATCATATATCATCATTCCTCACCAGGCATCAAATCATAATATTAACCAACTACCCTCAAATATCAGCATAACCGTCAAACCGTCATCGGGATGCACCAAGCCGGAGAACACGCCATGCTGGACTGCGACCATGCCACAGCTGGGGCGGTGTTCGGAAGTGATAGTCAACGCGCTTGTTATAGCACTGATCTCGCTGATCTTGCTGTCAAACGGGTCAATATGCCGAGATGCTGCTCCATTTAGAGTGTACATGCTCTCGGAGGTACCGTCTGCCCTCTTGCGCCTCTCACGGCGATACTGCGATGCCACTTCAGACTTGGCAGCGGCTTCCCATTCCTTCCAGGGTGATATGGCGCCTCGGGGTCTCACTGACTGCTGGGCCGCCAGTGCATGGTCACTTGAGCAATCATGGCTGCATGGGCCAGAATGGCTACGGCGAGGTACGGCGAGGGCAGAGCACATCTCGCTGCACCCTGCTTGAGGGCACGGGGAGATAGAAATGCGTCCCCCCTTCTTCCAACCAGGGACAGGCTGAGGACAATCCTAGAGGATGTGGAGAAGGGGGGATAAGGATGAGGGGGAGAAGAAGAGGGGCACCGCGCACGATGGTAGAAAAAAATTAGCCTGGCGAAGGACCCAACCATATGCAGTTGTCAGTACCGCAGCTGCGGGTTTCATCTTCAGTGGAACTCCCCATAGGACCACGGAACGTGTGAGGGGTGTGCCGAGATGGGTGCCACTGGGGCACTCGGTGAAGCTCCCTATGGGGACATGAAAAACGCGCGGGGCGTGCCGACATGGGTGGCGGAAACGCATGTGAGGGCCGCCGCTGGGGCCACCAGTGGAGCTCCCTTTGGGTCCCCGAAACATGATGCTGCTGCGGGGGGGGTGCCAGGATGGGTGGCGGAGACGCATGTAAGCGCCGCTACTGGGGCCTTCGGTGGAGCTCCCTATGATAGGGCCACGAAGCGCGTGAGGGGTGTACTGGGATGTGTGGCGGGGACGCATGTGGGCGCCGCCACTGGGGCCTTCGGTGCAGCTCCCTATGAGGCCACGAAACGTGTGAGGGGTGTGCCGAATTGGGTGCGGGTGGTGACGCATGCGGGCGGTGCCACTGGGGCCTTCGGTGGAGCTCCCTATGGGGCCACGAAACCTGTTGTTGTGAGGGGCGTGCCG